CAAGTCAACTGATCGTGCATTAAATGCAGTTGTCCTCCTACTCCTCCAACGGGAAGACAACCTCAGTATAAAAGATACACTACGAAGAACAACCGGATAACTTTGCAACTTTTGCTAACCATTGCTACAAACAAGATATTCAAACTCTGAAAAGCAAAAAGCCTCCTTGAGATTCAAACTCAATATCTTCTACAAGAGAAGGCAGAAGTTGGAAAAATACTCTTTCCAACTCAAGCAAAGTTCCAAGTGTTCTTCAACTCTTCAAGCTCATCACATACAAATCTTTTGTAACGAAGCTAGTTGGAGGAACCCCAGTTTCAACAGAAACTCTTCTTGCTACAAGAAGGACGTCCAAGTAACTGGAGTAGTGAAGTGGTGATACTTCAAGGAAACTCAGTGAAAGGACCAGTGTTAAAGGAAGCCAGGCAGTGCATCCCAGGACACATCTAGGCTTGAAGAAGACGTGTAGTGCTTCTTAAGTACTAGGACTAAGGCTTTGTAAACGGCAGTTTTTACAGCTTAGTGGAACAGTGGATTAGAGGAACGAGTTGTTCCTTGAACCACTATAAAAATCCCTGGTGTCGTTTACTTACTGCTTTTAATACTTGCACTTAGATAGAACTGTCTAACTCCTTGGACTTGGTATCTGTGTTCAGCAGAACTTGTTCTACGAGTTAACAGATGGCCTACTGCCTTTGCTTCTCTGAGGCTAACAGAACTCCCTGCCATAACCCCATCCGCTGCTAGTCTGTTCTTTCAACAGAACAGGCTATTCTGTAAATCTGGTACTTAGTTTAAAAAGCTAAAAACCAATACAGTCTATTCACCCCCCTCTAGACTGTATCCAGTATAACCGGGACCAACAGAGGGCTTGCTTATCCATCATCGAGGTAATCCCCCTCAGGAAAGACATCGGTTCAGCTGAACCGTGCAACACAGATGCCCCCGGGGCGAGGGAGAGCTGAAGAATCTCCCGAGGCAAGTTCTCCGGGGGAAGATCTGTTTGAGCCATCGGGGTGTCAACGGCCGGGGAGTCAGCGGAGGGCTGATCATAAATTACTATGAGGGGGGCCGCCATTCCAACGGTGCCCCCGACAACCTTCTGTTTCTTGATCGGGGGCTCCACCCCCTTGCCTCCCTTCTTCTTCTTGGTGGCTACCTCGGCCTTCGCCCCCCCGGCCACAGTAGCAAAGGCAGCATCAACAGAAGGCTCCACAACCTCCTTCGGGAAGACCTCATAAATGGGCTTTTGGCCCGAGGGCTCCTTTTTCTCCTTTTTCTGGACCTGAGCCCTCTCCTTCTTCTTTTTCATGGCAAAGAGAGCCTCCATACCTACAAAAAAATGAAGAGAAAAGATTAACCCGAAGGATCCATACAACAGACAACTATCGGGATGCAAAATAAGAATGCCTAAGTACAAGACTAAGGGCCCTCGTAGACTACCTCCTGCTCCCCCGAAGGCCTCAGCAAAAACGGGATACTTCTCGTCCGTTTCCCCGATGAAGCGGTATCTCCGGAAGCCGAGGGCGAAGAGTTCCTTGTCGGCAGTGTAATCTTTAATAGACACTTGCTTCGTGCGACCCTCCGGGATTTTGGCTATTATCAAGCCATCCTTCTCGAGAGCGGCGTTTCCAACCTTCGGATGCCAACGGAAGCGATCCCGAAGTTCCGCCGGAAATGGGCTCTCAGCAACTCTGACGTAGCACCATCGCTCCTTCCAGCCCTTATTGGACGAAGGCGCCTCTGTAAATAGCTTCCACCTAGCTATCTGCTGCAGGTTGGCGAAGCCCTCGACATTTGCGTGACCCCCTCGGCAGAGGTTGAAGCTCTGGAAGAACAAGTCCAGGCTGGGGTCACCCCTCGGTCCCTGCAGAGGTTCAAAAAACCCGCCACGTAGGAGTGGCTATTAGGTGTCAGCTGGCAGGGGACCAAGCCAACAAACCTAAGGTACTCCCGGAGGAAGGGGTGCACAGGGAACCGAAGGCCCATGGAGACCGACAGTACGTGTACTGCAATACACCCCTCGGGCGCCCCGAGACAGCACATCGTCAACTCCCGGCTCGACCACCACGGCCGAAGGCCCTACGTGTAGCTGCGTGACGTAGAAATCCGCCTTGCCCGCCTTCGACTTTATCTCAAGGGCCTCAGTGTTCAGCCAAGAATACCCCTCGGGCATATCAACGGGCTTCCCTTGGTCGGCAGCCCCGACTTTCTTCCTGATAGCAGCTTTCGCCTTCTTCTCCCTCGATCCGGGGGCTACTCTCAAGGGCGTCGGGTTCAGTGGCCTCGAGCTGCTTGCTTCACCAGAGCCGCGGGGGGGGGGGGGGGAATGACAGCCACTGTCACCCTTGTCCTCTCCTTTGCTTCCTCCTCCTCTGCAACCTGCACGGCGAGGGCTAGGTCTTCGTCCTCCGCCTCCTGCTCAAAGCCCTCGGCTTCGACTTTAGCCGTCAGGTCTTTCTGTACCTCTATCGCCATCGCGACGTCCTCTTGGACCGAGGGCTGCTCACTTGAGGACCCAACGTCTGAGAAGCTCTCCTCTTCCACCGATGGATCCCTCGATATGTCGTGGGAGTCACTCTGGGAAGACATCTTGGCTATAGTCCGAGGGCTCGGAAACACTAGTGTTTTCTAAAAAATTCTATCTCCTAGCCTAAGGGCACAGGGCACAGCTAACTACAACGAGAAGAGCAGGGGGGAACTGACCTTAAGGTAGGGATTGATCGAGGGTTGCTGTTTCTCTCTCTAGAAATTTTGGCAGAGCTTCGCTATAGGGATTTCGCACAGGGGGAAGGGAGCCGGCCATGGGGTATTTATAGGCGCTGGAATCCGGGCTTGGGCCTGGAAACCGGGCCTCCGGTTGGACTATCATCATTACACGCCGTGTCTTCGCCCAACCGGTGACGCCGCCCACGGACGGCCAACCATCACGCACCACGTGTACTCCCCCCCAACGGCTCTATCCTGACGTTACATATTCCAACGGCTATATTTCCAACGGCTATATTCTGGGAGCCCCGGGCTTTTGCTTAACTCCACTTCATCAAGGAGAGCCTCCGGGTACACTTACCCAGAGACGCACCCGGGTTGTGCCCCACACAGTACATAACAAACGCCTTCGGGGTCACTCCTTCAGAAGCCCAAGGCTTCATATCAGGCCACCCCTCGGGGATCCCCCCTCAGTGTGCCTCATTGACAGATAGCCTACGGCACACAGGTAATGGGAGCCCTCGTAATGACACCCCGGTAACACCTCAACTACTACCATCATTCACTACGCCCTCGATCCCCATATCGAGGGACCCGCCTTCGGCACCTCCCAGGACATCAACAACAAGCCTCCGGCTAATCAACACAGGAGCCCTTAGAGCAAGGAGAGCCTTCGGCATCACCATATTCTCCATTTTGAACCAAGGTTTCACATTTTCGATTCATCGTTGGGGGAATTCGGTGCACTCTTTTTCCCTCATTAGGATTTTTTCCCACAGGGTTTTTCCTAATGAGGTTTTTAACGAGGCATCCCCCCAAAATGAAACGAAAAGCGTCAGCCTTCGGCCCACAACAGCAACGCAACTACTCTACTCCTTTTCACCACTTTGCAAGTGCCTCAAGGAGTGGGGGATTGGAGTCTGGAGGACCCCCTCAGGAAAAATCACAAAATTCACAAACATGACCCCTCAAGTCCCGACATGTGGGTAACTGAGGGACCGCCCTCGGCAGAATAAACAAACAGCAAACTACCCACAACTCTACAAGCTACTAACGGAACAAAGGCAGAGGACAAACACGATTACTCCTTTTCCCTCAAGTACCTTTCGGCAAAAGGAGTGAGGGACTCCTGATGGAGTATATGGCCCGAGAACCCCCGACCCATAGACTCCTACTACTCCGATCAAGGCCCAACGGGCCCAGAAGGCCCAACAGGCCCAAGTCACAGCGCCCAGAGTACCAAGCAGCCCACAATGTGCACCAGAGGTGCCTTCGGCCCCTTGGTCGAAGGCTCTTACTTTCACAGGAAGGTCAGGACAGCAAAACAAAGCTACTGGGAAAAACGGCGAAAATCAGTAGCCCTCAGCACCTGGAGCCCTCGGCACCTAGGGGTCCCCGGAACTCAGAGCCTTCGGCTAGTCCTCTACAGCCGAGGGCACCCTGCCCGACATGATATCCATACCACATGCGTACAGATCACCGTACCCTGTACAAACGTCCCTTCCAACGGCCGCATTAAATGCGGCCACATGCGGTTGCCAGCGCCAACCAGATGAGGTGACCTCTCGGCCAATGGACGCTTGACACGTGTCTTTGTCCGACATTTATTGCTACTATAAATAGCACTCCTTTTCCCCATTTGTAACCAAGTCATAAACGCTGCATACTTTCTGAATACACTTTCTCTCTCTACTTACTTGCTCTGACTTCTCTCTTGTTATTCCCCGCAGTAACCCCCCAGATAAGCTACCCCCGGGTACGCTATCCATCATTGATTTTATTAAATTTTTTAAAATTGCATTTTTCTTAACTAATGCATTATTTGAATTTTTCAACTTTGGTTTTTTACTATGCATTATTTGATTTTTTTTTTTTAATTTGATTATTTTATTATTTTTAATTTTATCGTATTTTTAATATTCTCACCATTTTCTAACTATATTCATCTTTTTTACATTTTACTCAATATTAGCCTTTTCTACTTAAAACATGAATTGAGTATTCTTGGAGTTTGTATAAATTTGACACGGTGTATTCTCAATATAAAATTGACAAATTGAGTACTGTCCGTGCATTTCTTTGGAGCGTACTACGTACTTAATGCTACGTATATTTTAGTGGGTTGAGCGCATAGCGTACTACGTATATTCCAGTGGGTTGATTTTAGGTAGGTATGGTCTATTTTTGAAAAAGAAAGTTCCATTGATCTAATTTTGAAAAGAATTTTAACATGTGATAAAAGTGATATTATTTTCCGTCTGTGTCTATTTGTGAAAAATTCCCAAAATGCATTATGAACCTTGATTGAGCTCAATCAAATCAAATTAGGGAATTCCGTTGATGAACATGAGCAAACTTTCCCACAAATGTACAAAACTAAACTAAAATTACGGAGTGAGAAGATAAAAGACAAAAATTAAGAATGTTTGTAAGGTGCAGTGATGCAGCAGCAGTGTTTGTAAACGAACAATGCCATGGGTTCATATCGAGGAGAAGGTAGATTGAAAAATTGAAGAACCCTGCTTCACATCTGGCAGTCCGGAGCAGAATTCTGCTTTTCCAAAGCCAAATCTAAACCATATCCGGTGAGCTTCGTGAGAAATGAGGCTCTGCGAAACTTTGGCTGTTTTGGGAAGGAGGATTTCATCTGTAGATTCAAAGAGAGCGAACCCTAATATCTAAGAGCAAAATGCGAAGGTCAGGGGTTCAATTTTCCATCAGCTATTGAATCAAGTTAGCTGTGATTTATCTTCTTTCCATTCCACACACATTATTATATCTTTAAGAAATTTTCTTCTATCTCTGCCAAAGTACTTTATTTGGAAAAATATTTTAGAAAATTTATTTTATAGGCATGTGGACCGCAGTTGAGGACACCTATAGATAAGTAAACCATTATGTTGTTCCCGAAAGAAGGTTTATGTGATGATGGATTCGAGGGTTCTACCAATGAACACCAGATTTTCAGGGAAGTATTCTTCGGGACTGAGGAATATAAAAAGAGGTGCCTCATTACTGGAGTTATCAATTTTGAATGCGACAGTGAAAGTCCAGCATTAATGGTGCATGATACTTCATATGGTACCATAGTGGATTCTGGTGGGGAAGGGCAAGAGAGGAGAGTGCATTCTAACATCCAGTTCTATATGGAAAGATGTTTGAACTCCGCAGCATCCTTGTATAATGACTCTCACATTCTGACTTTTCATGTGGTTGAGACAACTAACCAGGGCATCACCTCTTGTTCTTATCTGCAAAAGGGGCACAGTGAGCTTGACAGAGGACATGAATTGTGTGAAGGTGGTTCCTTAAAACTAAACTCACATAACTTGAATGTAAATGACGGGAAAGATGGTTGTAAAATAATACCATCTCCCACTTCTCAAGAGAGCAGTGTGACCAAGTTGTTGGTAAGCATTTCCCCACCTGTCACTGCAAAATACTCAAGGGATGTTCGAATAGCGAAGTCAAAGTGGAAGGATTCCTGCTTTGTGGAGCTAGATGAATCAGAGCTGTTGGTGGTTAAAGACGCTCCAAATGATCCTCGTCCTATTCTACGCTACCATATCAATCGCTTACTAAGAGCAGCAGGATGGGTAATTGGGAGGCGTAAAAGGAGTAATAAATACAATGGCATCGGGGAATATGTTTATAGGTCGCCTGAAGGAAGACCTATTCGGGAATTTCATCGAGCATGGCTATTTTGTGGTAAGAGTTTAGTTACGGAGGAAAACAGTGTCATACATGATGGGGAGCGTAAGGTGTGGGCTGACTTGGATCAGTTTAGGGCAGACCTAAGTAGTACTTTGGCAGAGATAGAAGAAAATTTGATTAACTTGGAAAACATATCATCATTGGCTGCTCTGTGGTGCCTTCTTGATCCGTTTGCAAATGCAGTATTCATTGACAAGATATTACACTTTCTTAAAGAAGGAAGATCTGTCATACCAAACAGAACATTTGGTTGGTATGTAGAAAACCAGCTAAGCGAGAGAAGCTTGAGTGATCAATCTATACACAAGGAGTTATGTTTAAATAGAAGCTCGCTGAACCTCAAACAGTCACAAATAGAGGAAGGCAAGTGCGTTAACAGTCTATCTTCTACTAAAAGTTCTTTCAATGAGCCGCCTCATAAATATAGGAAAGTCTCAGGCAATGAGAGTGGCATTTTAGATCAAAGTTCCTTTCCATCTTATGGATCTGATAGTACCTCTGAGCTAGATGGTAGTTGCTTGTTTGAAGTTCCTGTCAGTTTGGAAAAAAGGCCAACATTGACGAGAACTTATGAGGCAGTTTATAATAACCAAGATTGCAGCACAAGCTCCCTCATATGTAATGATAAAGAAGTAAAAAATTTTGATGTAAAAATTTCAATCCAGCCAAATTATTTGTTGCAGGAGTCTCTATTATTTGATTCGAACCAAGATCTGATGGATTTTAAATGTATTGAAGCAAAGACCGAGGGTTTATTTTGTGTTGCGAGCTCTATGCCTAGAAAGAAAGCCCACAAGAAATCAAAAAAGATATCTGAAATGAAACTTTCAAATTTGTATCAACCTGAAAAATTGGCATCTAATGCAAATGGACCCTGTGAAATCAATGGAAAGGGAACCTACAACAGAGTTCGACCAATGAAATATAAGAAATTTCATCCCGAGGATGACGATCTTCTAGTTTCAGCCATCGTGAAAAATAAAACCTTCAAATATGCAAAAAAGAGGCCCCGTGGTAAATCCAAGTCTATGAGGAAGACGAAGAGCCATAAGGGCAGATGCAAGTTGCTCTTACGTAGCCAAAATAGGGGTGGAAAGAACTTCATAGAGGGAAAGTGGCCTGCCTTTGCTTCAAGAACAGTTTTATGCTGGTTGATTCATTCTCGGGTTGTTTTTCTCAATGAAGTGATCCAATATAGGAATGTCAAGGATGGTTCTGTGCTGAAAGATGGCTTTATCACTAGAGACGGGATACTATGCAAGTGTTGTGATGAAGTACTATCAATCTCGACTTTCAAAAATCATGCCGGTTACAAACCAAATCTCAGCCAACCTTGTCTGAATCTTTTTTTAGAGTCTGGAAAACCATTTACATTATGCCAGCTTGAGGCTTGGTCAGTTGAATATAAGGCTAAGAAAGCTCCTCCCAGAACAATGCACGCTGATGAAGTGGATCAAAATGATGATAGCTGTGGGCGCTGTGGTGATGGTGGCGAGCTGATATGTTGTGATAATTGTCCATCTACATTTCATCAGGCATGCTTGTATGCACAGGTTACTTATCCTACCTAATACTTTTAATCAAATCCACTAGCTTTGTTTTACACTTTATTTACTTTGTAGTTTGTATAATAAAATCATCTCAGCCAAGCCCAAGTAATCCCTACTTTTATTTTCTAGGGGTGGGTTCGGTTGAAAGGGGTCCGTTTTGATCACGAACTGAACCGAACTAGAATATTCAGTTCAGTTCTGTTTTTTGTTTTACAACGTTGAACCGTGGTTGGTTGTTTTTTTCTTCTGTTTTTTCAATTCATATTGAAAATATTAGTCAATCGTTCAGAATCTTAGCCTTTGTTGAAATGGTGGAGAAATATGTTGTACTCATATGATTCAAGTATTGTTTGTTTATAATCTATCATTTTTTTTACCTTTTTGTGTAGTCAATTTTGTGCAAGTCGCTCTACGGTTTAAGTCAGAGTTTCATTAACATAATTTTTCCAGTAATCTTTTAAACAATAAAGGAGCTAAAAGAATATTTATCATTAAACAATAATTAAATAAGGTAATTTAGGTATATTTTGAAAAATGGTTTTGATGGATATATAATCTAACGGGGTCATTGATGATAACTGTTATGTTATAGATGTGTTATTTTAATATTTAATGATTAAATTGTCATTTAAGAATGCTAGCTATTTCCTAAAATAGAAACAGGAACCTTCAGTTAGGGAAGTCCAGCTGGGACGGAGGGAGTACTTATCTATCTTTCGGGTTAAAAATATAGCTCTTTTTATGTACTTAAGTTTCTTCATTAAATTTATATACTCGGGACATTTTGTGGTCTACAATTAAATACTATTTATGCAACTCTATGGTTAAAATTAATTTGTGCAAACAATATCGTTTTACTAGTTAGGTTCGGGTTTTCGGGAAATAAAACACAACCTATGAAGCACAACAACTTCCCACGGCTCCCATTTTCCGGTTTCAGAAACTCAGAAGCTTGTCGGGAACTTCAAATTTCCGTTTCAGGGCTGAGTTGTAACCACTGTTCTAAAAAATCGCTCTAGGCGCCTGACTAGTCCCTGCCTAGGCACTAGGCGGTGGCCGGGCGCTACAATATTTGTTTAGACGCCCCGATTTTTGTTTAGGTGCCCGACTAATTGATTTGGCGCCTAGGTGAATTAGTCGGCCACCTAGAGCGCCCAGTTGCTCGCCTAGAGCTCCTAAATTCCTAATTGCTTCCCTAGGGCGTTTGAATTCGCCGAACAATTTTTTAATTTTATTTTCTTTTTGTAAGAGATATATGTACTTTTAACTTTATTCAAGAATATGAAGTACAATATTTATAAATTAATATAAAAACTATATATGTTTGCATATATACTTAAATTTTATTAATATTTAATATTTATAACATAGTGTAGTTAAGTGATTAGTTATCATATATTATTGTATGTGACAATTCTATCATTTAAGCAGAAATATTGATAAAAATACAATTTATGTGTCTAGGTGAGCGAAAAGTGAAACCGTTCGCACTTTGCACGGGAACACCTCTTTTTATTTGAACTCTTCCCTATATATATATATTTACTCCAGGGGGCGTATGGGGGAGGGGGGCTGGGGGGCTGGAGTAATCAAGGCTGAAACTCACTCCATTGAGTTTCAAACCCTTATGTGCCTAGTCCCAAAAGAGTTTGAGGTCGGCTAACATGAATCGACATATGAAATCGGAGGTAAAAGACATGTATACAACAACACGAACAACAACTTTCAAGCCTTAGTCCCAAAAGAGTTTGAGGTCGGCTAACATGAATCGACATATGAAATCGGAGTTAAAGCAGGTATACCGTATACTAAATGTGGGAATGAAGAATAGTATGCAAAACGTTTTGTATATTGATAAATGGTAAAGAACTCTTGATGTGATGTTTTAATTTTTATCAACACAAGATACACAACTTGTGGAAAACTGCTTGTTGGCAATCCAATGTGGAAGTATTTCTCTTCAATAGAACCTTTAGGGGGGTGAATTTATTCTAGGAAAAGATGATTTTTAAGATTTACTCGTGGCTGATCTTTCCACCTCAATTTCAAAGATTTACTCTTGGTTGATCTTTCCACCTCAATAATGTCTATGTTACGGATGCATTTTATGGAACCGGCGGGAAGTTTAATTAGTAGAGGGAAATTATCCTGATGCTATTTTTATATTTTATATATTACTTCCTATTAGGAATAGAAGTATTAGAGGTCACAGTTTCTATTAGATTAGAACTCGTATAGGAATAGAAGCATTAATTGTTATAGTTTCTGTTAGATTAGAACTCAATCATGTAAAGGCAGGATGCATATTTATATTCTTTATTTAGCATAATAAAGGTATCGATCATTAGAATAATTAATCCGAGAGAGAAGTCACGGACTTTCCCCCTTCCCCTGCGCTCTTACTGCGTTCTTCCAGCCACGGGCAAGAAGAGGAGTAATCCTAGCAGGCAGGTTACCACCTCAACCGGGCACCCTGCTACCCCAAGTCGTCCCTTGACCCGTTCTCAGTCCCAGAACCCTAACAATTTGGTATCAGAGCCGTCACGATTAATGGCGCCACAGAATGATAATTTAGCCACCGTGATAGAGTTTATGGAGGCTATGACTGCTAGGATAACCGCCATAGAAGGGCAGATTGCCGCTCTATCTCTGGCAGTCCACATACGGGATTCCAAATCAACAGAAACACATGAAGAGCAACCTGATAACAGCCTGATATCACACAGCACCTTGAACCCCTGGAAACCACAGTATGCGAGGATGGAATTTCCTGTGTTTGATGGCACCTACGACCCTACCAGTTGGTTGAAAAGGTGCGAAAAATTCTTCTTGAACCAAGAAACTCCTAGTGTTGCAAAGATGAATATGGTCTCATTCCACTTGATAGATGATGCACAACTGTGGTTCGATCATATGATAGAGGAAGAAGGAGAAGTCAACTGGCAGAGGTTTAAAGAACTCTCTCTGGAGCGCTTTGGGCCCCCTTTGAGTTCTTACCCGATTGGAGATCTGAAACTTCTGATGCAGATCGGATCAGTTGATGAATATTGTGCCCAATTTCAGAAGGCCTTAGCAAGAACTTCACAAATACAGTCCACCCATCAGATTGCTTTGTTTGTCGCTGGTCTCCATCCCCACTTACGGGCTGATGTGGAGATAGCAAAACCAGGCAACCTGGGTTACACAATGAACCTTGCACGGACATTGAAAGCAAGGCAAACACTGACGCTTGCACTTGTAAAAGTCTCGGGTACCACAACAGATATGAAACAACGCAGCCCGCCACAGCTTTAGATAAGCGCTTGTGACAACAAAGGCAGGAAATCCCATTGTTAAGCGACTCACTAAGGATGAAATGGCAGAAAGACGAGCAAAAGGGCTATGTTATAATTGTGATGAACAGTGGACGATGAATCACCGATGCAAAAAGTTTTTCTTGATCGAGATAGAATATGAGCAGGAAGAAGATGATGGCTTCCCAGACTTGGAGTTGTCTGCCAATGCTATAAGTGGAACTATTAGTTCAATGGCAAGGCAGCACACCAGACAAGGCCACTTGGGGAACCGTTTGACACTTTTATCATTGCTTATCCAGGATATGAGCTTGGGGACAAGCTCAGTTTCGAGGGAGGGAGTGATGTGTTACGGATGCATTTTATGGAACCAGCGGGAAGTTTAATTAGAAAAGGGAAATTATCCTGATGCTATTTTTATATTTTATATATTACTTCCTATTAGGAATAGAAGTATTAGAGGTTACAGTTTCTATTAGATTAGAACACCTATTAGGAATAGAAGTATTAGATGTTATAGTTTCTATTAGATTAGAACTCTATCATGTAAAGGCAGGATGCCTATTTATATTCTTTATTCAGCATAATAAAGGTATCAATCATTAGAAGAATTAATCCCAGAGAGAAGTCACGGACTTCCCCCCTTCCCCTGTGCTCTTACTGCGCTCTTCCAGCCACGGGCAAGAAGAGGAGTAACCCTAGCAGGCAGGTTACCACCTCAACCGGGTACCCTGCTACCCAAAGTTGTCCCTACACCCGTTCTCAGTCCCAGAACCCTAACAGTCTACTTCATTCTTAAATGTGGTTTGTTAATGGGCTCAACAAATTCAAACCACATTTAAGAATGAGTAAACTTTTCAGAATGAAGTTTGAATTTGTTGAGCCCATTATCAAACCACATTTAAGAATGAGTAAACTTTTCAGAATGACTTCACCAAAGTTGGGCGTAAATAATTTAGTGCAAATCTGTGCTGAAGCTAGGACAGGTTTAATTTAAAGGTCTATAAAAACATCTGTGAAAGTATTATTGTATCTAGGAATATGCTTTAGGAATATGCTCTAGAATATGCTTTAGGAATATACTCTAGACATTATTATTGTATAGCATCTTATATAGGAATATTCCATCTTTGTAATATATATATATATAGGGCCTTAACCCTCTAATGAAATACACAGAAAATCCTTCTCTCCATCTTTAATAGCATTGTAGTTTATATTTCAACATGGTATCAGAGACTTCCATTTTAGTTTAGTTTTTCATATTTCAGTTTAATTTTCAGACTGGATTCTTCCTTCAAGGAACTTGAGTTCAGTTTTATCAGATTCTTCAGAACCTCTAGGCACCATTCTAATTTCCCAGAGAATCAATTAGCCTGAGCTAATTTCCTAGAAAATTCCTTAGCATACAGTCTGCCCCACCAGACCTAAGAAATTCTCAGACCACACATTTCATCACCACCGTACCCAGGTGGTGCGGCTACCTTCGACGACCCAGAAACCAAAGTCCGACACCCAAACTCTACGCGACTGAGACGTACGCGCTGCCACAACTCGCTGACCTCAACTCACGTGCCGGCACGTGACGTCATTCTGCGGCCAGATTTCGGATCAGAGAACGCCATCCAGCTCGCCTGCATATCGCCTTTCTGCTGTAGCTTCTCTTTGGGATGGTTGCGTTTCTTTCCAGCTCTTCAGTACGCTGACATCGAAAAGAGATCGTCCAGGCTACGCGGAAATCTTTTCTTCCTTCCAGGCTTCGTAACGGACATACGCACGCTCCTTTGTCTGGCTGTTCTTCTTTGAGGTCTGGCACTCTGGCATCGACCCTCCGTCTGGATTAGCAGTCAAAGCCCAAACAGCTGGATCTTTTATTCTCCAGGTTGAGTCCACAAACGGGCTGCTCAGTCAAAGCCCAACTTTATTCTCCAAGGTCGAGTCCACAAATGGGCTGCTGTAAGTTCTCATTGGATATCTCAATTTTGAACTTAATTACATTCTCATAAAAATAAAACAAAAAAAAAAACAAAAAAAAAAGAAATTAAAAAAAAATGTCTTGTACGAGTGGATTTGACAGAGGAGTAATATGCAATTACTGTAAGAAGCCCGGACACTTGATCAAAGAATGTAGAAAATTGCTGTTCAAAAATCAAGGAAATCAGCTTGCTCATGTTGCTTCCGATACCAGTTCATCCGATGGATCAATTGCTATTTCTTCAGACGAGTATGCCAAATTTATTTGCTACCAAGAAACTCTAAAGCATTCCTCTGTCCCTATCTCGGTAACCGCTAATTCAGGTATTTCAAACACGTGTCTTGTTTCCTCATCCTCGAAATGGGTCATTGACTCAGGTGCCACAGATCATATGACCGGTAATCCTAGTCTATTCTCGTCATTTCATTCATATTTACCTACTTCTAGTGTCACTTTAGCTGATGGATCTACCTCACCCGTTCTTGGATCTGGTACTGTTGTTCCAACTTCTACATTACCATTATCGCCTGTTTTGAGTCTTCCTAATTTTGCATTTAATCTGCTTTCCATGAGTAAAATCACTCGTACTCTTAACTGTTCTGTAACATTTTTTCCGGGATATTGTGTGTTTCAGGATCTGTTAACGATGCAGATTATTGGTAAAGGACATGAGTCAGCTGGTCTATATATTTTGGATACATCCATCACCAAAGGTATCTCTTGTCTTGGGGTTGGGACTTTGTTAGATGCTCATTACTGATTAGGACATCCATCTCTCCCATTAATGAAGCAAATAAATCCCCAATTTAATAAGATGACCTCTTTACAATGTGAGTCATGTCAATTTGCGAAACACCATCGTACTAGCTTAGGCCCGCGAGTTAATAAACGAGCAAATGCTCCATTTGACCTTGTTCACTCTGATGTTTGGGGTGCTTGCCCGGTTGTGTCTAAAGCTGGTTTTAAATATTTTGTTACCTTTGTTGACGACTATTCTCGTATGACATGGTTGTATTTCATGAAACGTCGATCTGAGTTGTTCACTCATTTTTCTTCCTTTTGTGCTGAAATTAAAACTCAGTTTAACGTTCCTGTTCGGGTGTTAAGAGGAGACAATGCCCAAGAATATCTATCTGCTACATTTAAGTCATTTATGCTTCAACATGGCATTATTCATCAAACTTCATGCGTTGATACACCTCCTCAAAATGGAGTTGCGGAACGAAAGAACCGACATCTGTTGGAAACTGCAAGGGCTCTTCTATTCCAAATGAATGTGCCGAAACAGTTTTGGGCAGATGCCGTGTCTACTGCATGTTTTTTGATAAATCGAATGCCATCTTCTGTTTTGAATGGTAAAGCTCCTTATCATTGTCTATTTCCAAACAGAGAGCTTTTTCCTATCCCACCTAAAATATTTGGTTGCACTTGTTTTGTTAGAGATGTTAATCCTCATCTAACAAAGTTAGATCCGAAATCATTAAAATGTATTTTCTTGGGTTATTCTCGAGTCCAAAAGGGGTATAGATGTTTTTGTCCGAGTACAGGTCGGTATCTTGTTTCTATTGATGCATCATTTCATGAAAATACACCTTTTTCATCATCTAAGGCAGATATTCGTGAGAGTAATGACGATATTCTCATTTACACGATGACTATTCCTGAGTCCACACTTTTCGACAAATATTCCACAAGTTACTGTTCATGACCCTAGGCCTCCCGTACATTTGGTATACACCCGTCGACACAAAGCACCTGATCACCCTCCACCGGCGATACCTGTGATTACTTTTCTTGATACTAGTTCGACTCCGATCTCATGTCCTGAACCAGTATCTGCATCTTCAGATCTTGTTTCCACATCAGATCTTGATCTCCCAATAGCAGTACGTAAAGGTACACGGTCTTGTACTCATCCTATTTCTTCATTTGTGTCGTACAATCAGTTATCTCCTGCTTCATGTTCTTTTATTGCTTCCATTGATTCTATTTCTGTTCCCAAATCTGTCAAAGAAGCTCTGTGTCATCCTGACTGGCGTCAAGCCATGGTAGAGGAAATGAATGCTTTAGATCTTAATGGTACATGGGATTTGGTTGACTTACCTACAGGGAAGAAATCTATTGGATGTAAGTGGGTCTTTGCTGTTAAGGTTAACCCAGACGGATCCGTTGCTCGGTTGAAAGCCCGATTAGTTGCGAAGGGTTATGCTCAAACCTATGGTGTTGATTATTCTGACACTTTTTCTCCTGTTGCTAAATTAACATCTGTCAGGTTACTTATCTCACTCGCTTCAATTCATGATTGGCACTTACATCAATTGGACATTAAAAATGCATTTTTGAATGGTGACCTTAAGGAAGAAGTCTATATTGAGCAACCTCCGGGATTTGTTGCTCAGGGGGAGTATGGTAAAGTTTGTCGACTTCGCAAATCTCTTTATGGTCTGAAACAGAGTCCTCGTGCATGGTTTGGGAAATTCAGTCAATCAATTGAACAATTTGGAATGATAAAAGGCAAATCAGACCACTCTGTATTTTACAAACAAACAGAATCAGGTGTCACATTGCTTGTGGTATATGTTGATGATATTGTGATTACAGGGAGTGATAATGCAGGTATTTTGGCCCTTAAGAATTTTCTGCATAGTCAATTCCAGACGAAAGATCTTGGCTCTTTGAAATACTTTCTGGGAATTGAGGTAACACGAAGTAAGAAAGGCATATTTCTATCTCAACGTAAATATGTACTTGACTTACTAGCTGAGACAGGGAAATTAGGGGCAAAACCAAGTACAACACCCATGGTTCCCAACGTGCAACTCACTCAAGAAGGCACACCGTTTGAAGACCCAGAAAGATATAGAAGACTGGTCGGAAAGCTTAATTATCTCGCAGTCACCCGTCCAGATATTGCTTATTCTGTGAGTGTAGTGAGTCAATACATGTCATCTCCGACCATTGATCATTGGGCTGCTGTAGAACACATATTATGTTACTTAAAGGGAGCACCAGGACGAGGTATTGTTTATCAAAACCATGATCACATGAGAATAGAATGCTTTGCAGATGCTGATTGGGCCGGTTCTAAAGATGATCGAAGATCTACATCTGGCTATTGTGTCTTTGTTGGTGGTAATCTTGTATCCTGGAAGAGTAAGAAACAGAATGTGGTTTCTCGTTCTAGTGCTGAATCAGAATATCGAGCTATGGCACAATCCGCATGTGAGATAATATGGATACACCATTTATTGAATGAAATTGGATTGAAGACACCAATGCCTGCTCAGTTGTGGTGCGATAACCAAGCTGCTATACACATAGCAAACAACCCCGTATTTCACGAGAGAACAAAGCATATTGAGGTTGATTGCCATTTTATTCGAGAGAAGATACAAAAAGGATTAATCTCTACCGGGTATGTGAAGACTGGAGAACAACTTGGAGATTTATTCACTAAAGCTCTAAATGGGATTCGAGTTGATTACTTATGTAACAAGTTGGGCATGATAAATATCTATGCTCCAACTTGAGGGGGAGTGTGAAAGTATTATTGTATCTAGGAATATGCTTTAGGAATATGCTCTAGAATATGCTTTAGGAATATACTCTAGACATTATTATTGTATAGCATCTTATATAGGAATATTCCATCTTTGTAATATATATATATAGGGCCTTAACCCTCTAATGAAATACACAGAAAATCCTTCTCTCCATCTTTAATAGCATTGTAGTTTATATTTCAACAACATCATTCTCTTTGGATCTCATTTCTATAGTTCTTAAATTTTGAAATGTAGATGTGATGTCAAGCCTCCCTATTTAATCTTCTTTTCGACATTTGGTGTGAAATTCATTTAATTTTGTTGATTTTCCCATATCGAACTTGAGGAAAGAAATTCTCTATATTGTCTTTCACTTCTCTTTCCAATTTTAAAATGTTAGTAGAGATTTTAAAATGCTTTTTACCTTACAGCTTTTGTAATGAGAATTGGTTTATGAATGAATAAATAAACATTATCCATGTTTTTCAGGAACTTCCTGAAGGCAGTTGGTATTGTCCACATTGTACATGCAAGATTTGTGGAGATGTGGTCAAAGATAATGGGGAATCTAGTTCTACACCCTCTGGTGCATTAAAATGTGTGCAGTGTGAACATAAATGTATGATACCAACTAACTCAATTTCTTCGGTTGAGTGTATCTGATATTCACTATAATCTTCTGCTCCTTTTTCGCAATTCTAATCTTCTTTATAAATCCCGTTGTTTATCTTTTCTTACTTCTAAGGTAAGTCCTGTATATCCTTGATTAATTACAAACAGATCACGAAGCATGCTTGAAAGAGCATGGCATAGGTGTAGAGGCATCAGAAACCTGGTTCTGTGGTGAAAGTTGTCAGGAGGTAAAAATCATACCCTTTTTACATATTTTATTATTGTTAAAACTTGAAAAGGGATTAGAGATAATTCTTTTTCTGCAGCAAGCCTTTAATTTAATTATAAATACAGGTATCTGTCCACTTTGGTATATACTTGTTTCCCATTCAAAATGTACAGTATGAAATGTAGAGACAGTAAATGTATAAATTCCCTCAATACCATTAAATTAAATCATATTAATAAGAAGCCAAGTGAAAACCATTTTTGATGGACAAAAATAGGACCAAATTTGAATTTGGACAAAAAGATACCATATTTTAATGAATGGTTTAAAGTGCCCTTAATATCATAATTAAACCTAACCCTAATTTTATCTCCTTCTCTCCTTCTGCTCAGTCTTCTCACACCATTGGTGCGCCGTCGCTGAAGTGCCGCCAGCGTCTCCTCGTCGCTGCCAGCTTGCCATCCCACACAGACACACCTTCATTCTCTTCTTCTCATTCTTGTGATGACCTGCGACGGGGAGGAAAGCGGCGACTTGCGATGGCAAGGAAAGCGATGACCCGTGATGGCGAGGAAAACGTCAACCTGCGATGGCAAGGAAAGCGACGACTTGCGATGGCGATGGTGAGGGAGATCGATGGCCTGTTGATGGTGATGGAGAGAGCGATCAACAACCTGGAGATAGTGATGGAGAGCGATTACTTGGCGATGCCAACGACCTGGCGATGGGCAACGACATCGACGACGCAACGACGGTGTTTTCTTCATCATTTTGGATCCAGATTCAGAATCGGTAGGGTTTCTCATAATGGTGATTGGGGGTTGCGATGGCTAGGGTGGGGCAGGGTTAGGAGTTAGGACGCTTGTATGGCAGTGGTTGTTTATGGCTAGAGCAGCGGCATTGCAGTCTGCTGCCGCCGTGAGGGAGGAGTTTAGGGCTACGGGTGGGAGAGTTGCAGGGGAGGGGTCGGGCAAAAGGTTTGGGCAGGTAGTGGGGGTGGTAGGGGTGTCAAGTGGCCGTCAGTGGGGCGGCTGGGGCAATGGCGGCGGCGGCGGTTGGGCTGTGATTAGGTTACTAGGTGACTGTACTGTCACTGTGGCGGCAGTAACTCTCACTGGACTGGCAGTAGTCACTTGCCGGTGGCCTGGTGGTGGTCACCGGGGCTGGCAGTGGTCACTCGGGTTGGCGGTGGGGTAACCGTCGGCAGCGGGTCACTGAGCAACATGTCACTGGAGCCGTAGTCATTTAGCAAAGGGCATAAGTGTGTTAGGTAATCGACCAATTCACAGTAAATTCAAGAAAGTAGAATTGAGGAAGAGAAGATGTGCGTAACAATAACCGTATAACAGAAAAGAGAGAGAGAAGGTTTCTGGCAGTTTAAAGAGAGCCACTCTCCATGTCCCAGCCCAAATGAAACAATACAAACCTGCCTTATTCTGTTATTAGCTATCTATTTATAGAACCCCCCCTTTCCGGTTCCCCAAATACAATTCCAGCTACTTCTTATTTCTTCTAACATACACTTTGTCAAAATAGCTAATACTATTATTAAATGGCTGGCTACCAGTGGCTCTAACATCACTCCCCCCGGGACAACCACCTTGTCCTCAAGGTGGGTCATAGGAGACAATCCTGACGAACAGCTTCTTCATTTTTGCACCTCTTTCTTCCCAATTTCCCACTGCTTCCTTTACTGTTATCTTCAGTGCATGAACTTCCATAATCACATTTGTTATTTCAGCAGAAGGTGTCTCTATTATCTTCAGTGCTTTCTTTACTGTTATCTTCAGTGCATCAACTTCCAAAATCACAGTTGTTATTTCAGCATGAGCATCCAGCACCTCCCTTCCAATATCTTGAATGATAATACACCTTTCAGATACTCCTTCAAGATTTTGCAGCCCATACCCCTTGTTTCCACCATTATACCACTCCAGTTTAGCATCCTTCTATCCCTGAAACTGTTGGTTCAGACCTTGCATTCCAAGAAAAAAATCAGCATGGGTCTCTTGTATCTCTGGACTAGTCCTACTCTTACCCTTAAGCTCACTAAGTTTTCCAATTGTAAGTTTTGTCCCATCAGATGAAACATGTGGATCTAAACTAGGCAAGGCTGGTGTACTGGCCATGTGCAACAGGTCAAACATCAGGAACATGTCAGTATAACCATCAGTAGTGTAACCCCCCTTTTTCTTCCAATGTCCAGTCCTACTTACTTCCAGTTTGTTTTCAGTTACTGCAGTGCTGAACAAACAATACCCCTCTCCATGCTCTTGCTTATTCTTGATGATGGATTTGAAAGAAGCTTGATTTTTGCTGAAGTTGGTATCTCCCTGAAGCTTCATTGCTTTACCCTTTTCCTTCCATTTGATAGTCAGCTGAGTGAAATTAAATTCAACATTTCCCAAGCCTGCTAACCAATCCAGCCCCAAAACTATCTCATTTCCCCCCAATTCTAAGACATAAAAGTCTTCAACGATGGTAGTTTGTTGTATGTTAAGAAAAACAGCTTCACATCTCCCATCGCTTCATTGCTTTACCCTTTTCCTTCCATTTGATAGTCAGCTGAGTGAAATTAAATTCAACATTTCCCAAGCCTGCTAACCAATCCAGCCCCAAAACTATCTCATTTCCCCCCAATTCTAAGACATAAAAGTCTTCAACGATGGTAGTTTGTTGTATGTTAAGAAAAACAGCTTCACATCTCCCATCGTTTCTGATTATGTCTCCATTTCCCATCTTCACATTGAATTCTGGAATCTGGAAGATAGGTAGGCCTGCTGCTTGAACTACCTTATGAGATATAAAATTGTGGGTGGCCCCACAGTCAATCAGAATGATTATAGTTTTATCCCCCTTGCTGCTCCTTAACTTTCCCTTCATTTTAAAAGTCTCAGGAGTTGTGATTCCTTCCTTGCTCAGGAGAGATAACTGCACAGTAGAGAGGTCTGTTTCTTGCATTGATGAAGCAGGTTCTATAGTATTACTCTCAAATTCCTCCTCCTCTTCAGATTCATCTAGTATGACAATCTGGAAGTGTTTTATCTTACAGATATGATCTTTTCCCCATTTTTCCCCACACTTGAAACAGAGACCTTTTCTGCTCAACTCCTGTAACTCAGATTGAGATAATCTGTGTGTACCCATTATTCCAGACTCCTTATTTCCTGTCTCCATCATTTTCTTTTCCATGGCAGGTTTCCCTTGACTGGACTGGTAGTTCAGACTGCTCCTCCATTTGTTTTCATCCATCCATTTGTGATTCTGTACTGAAGTATACCCCTTATCTTTCATTCCTCTTCTATCATCTTCCTTGTTCCTGGCAGATTTCAGAGTCTGGTTCCTTTGTTCCACTAGCAAGGCCCTATCCATCAACTCCGCAAGAGTTCTGACTGGATATAACTTTAATTCAGCTTTTATTTCATCTTTCAAACCCTTCATAAAGATTCCCTTGAGTATTTTCACATCAGTCTGTTTTAAGGGAGCCACCATCAACTCGAATTGTTCCCTATACTCCATTACACTACTTGTCTGTGTTACACTTAACAGTGGACCATAAGGATCATGTACCAGACCTGGTTGAAATCTACGAGTTAAGGCATTTGTGAATGATTCCCAGCTCCTTACCTCAGCGTGTTCTTCCCACCACTGAAACCAGTTAAGAGCCTTTCCTTCCATAGCTAAAGTAATCAAGTCTACTTTATCATCTTCTTCTATATAATTCATTTTCAAGAAACGCTCAGCCTTAACTATCCATCGATACGCATCATGTCCATTGAAAAGTGGCGAATCCACTTTCCTTCCAGATTTCTCCATCCATTTACTGTAATCATCATTACAACTAGAGGATGAAGAATGATGATTACCTGAGGAAGACGATAACTCGTGACTGCCAGAGCTCTGGTTTCTTTTGGTCGTTTTCGATCTTCCACGCGAGGGACTACCATTCCTGGTAAAAAACAGCTCACGTAACTCATCGCGAGTGCGCTTGGCCTCTTCGCGCATGTTTTCGCGATCGTGATCACGATCGCGCATCACCTCCATGCGAGTCCTCTCCAGCTCTCGCAACATGTCCAGACGACTATGTTCCAACTCGTGTTCCAGGTTTTCCAGTCTAACTTCCATCATCTTCTTCTATATAATTCATTTTCAAGAAACGCTCAGCCTTAACTATCCATCGATACACATCATGTCCATTGAAAAGTGGTAAATCCACTTTCCTTCCAGATTTCTCCATCCATTTACTGTAATCATCATTACATCTAGAGGATGAAGAATGATGATTACCTGAGGAAGATGATGACTCGCGATTGCCAGAGCTCTGGTTTCTTTTGGTCGTTTTTGATCTTCCACGCGAGCGACTACCATTCCTGGTCAAAAACAGCTCGCGTAACCTATCGCGAGTGCGCTTGGCCTCTTCGCGCATGTTTTCGCGATCGCGATCACGATCGCGCATCACCTCCATGCGAGTCTTCTCCAGCTCTCGCAACATGTCCAGAGTCCAGACGACTACGTTCCAACTCGCGTTCCAGGTTTTCCAGTCTAACTTCCATTGTTATTCTTGTTGATCCTCTCGTAACGACCATGTACAGGTTACCAGATCTATGCTCTGATACCAATGTTAGGCAATCGACCAATTCACAATAAATTCAAGAAAGTAGAATTGAGGAAGAGAAGATGTGCGTAACAATGGCGGCAATCGTATAACAGAAAAGAGAGAGAGAAGGTGTCTGGCAGTTTAAAGAGAGCCACTCTCCATGTCCCAGCCCAAATGAAACAATACAAACCTGCCTTATTCTGTTATTAGCTATCTATTTATAGAATCCCCCTTTCCGGTTCCCCAAATACAATTCCAGCTACTTCTTATTTCTTCTAACATACACTTTGTCAAAATAGCTAATATTATTATTAAATGGCTGGCTACCAGTGGCTCTAACAAAGTGTCCTATTAGTCATTTTTTTGGAAAATTATAAATTCGGTCCTTTTTTGTCCATAAGTTTTCATTTAATATTATTTTT